CATAATAACACTGTAAGAAATATTTGTGCTTTATTGTTTTTTTATTTTGTTTTTGTGAGTATGTTATATGTGTGTATGTTGAGTATGGTGTATGTGTGTGTAGTGTGTGCACATGGGCATGTGTGGGCGCATACATCCCTGTGCTTGCTTGGAGATCAGAGGACTGTTGGGTGTCCTCTTCTGTCACTCTCTACTCTGTCCCCTTGAGACAAGGTATCACTGACCCTGGAGCTAGGCGGTAGCCAGCAAGACTAGTCAGTTCTCATCTCTGCTCTCCTCAGCACTGGAGTTACAGTGCGTATGTGACCACGCCCCCTCTTGACTTAGATCTGAACTTAGGCCCTCATGTTTGAATAAAGCAAGTGCTCCTACCCACTGACCCATCCTTCCAGCCTGAAATATGAAATATTAAGGTATGTAACATATTCGGAGTACTGAACTATTAACTGAATCTAGTCTTTAATACCTTGAAATATGGAATTTTTTGAAGCTCTGTACCTTTCAAATATGTCAGATGATTCCTTGCTTATAAATGTCTGTAGTTGGTTAAAATACCTCCATTTTGAACTTCTGTAGTTGAGTTTAATTTCTTCTAACCTCAAGTTATAGTAGAAATGAAATATTCCTTTACACCCAAGTTCAGAGTGGTTTCCCTAAGGTTTGGTTCATCTTGGGAATGACTGCATGATTTGTGAAATTTTTTATCGTTAGGATTTTTAAATTTATATTGATTTAGTGTGTGTGTGTGTGTGTGTGTGTGTGTGTGAGAGAGAGAGAGAGAGAGAGAGAGAGAGAGAGAGAGAGAGAGAGAGCGCGCGCGCATGTGGAGGTCAGAAGACAATTTGTAGGAGCTGGTTCTTCCCAGGTCACCAGGCATGGTGGCGGCCACCTCTGTGATCCATCTTACTGGCCCTCTTTAAAACTTTTCAGAGAGACCCTTGCTTCCAGTTGTTTCTGTAACCAACTCTTTGTGGTTCCAAGTTTCTTGTTTGTTTTTGTTTGAAGCAAGGGCTCCTCTGTTGTCTGCAGCTCAACATGTAGCCCATGCTGTTCTTAAACTCACAGTGATCCCTCTGCCTCAGACTCTGAGGACTGCCATGAGCAACCATGGATGGCTTTGAATTCTTTTTCTAGTCATCCGTCCATAATTTTATTACATACGTATGTAGAGATAGAGATACTTACACTTTGATATTCCCCCAGTATTGCCCCCATTATCTTCTCTTTTCCCCTTTTTCCTCCCACTGAATCCCTCTTCTTCCTAGAAAGTCTCCTTCCCCTTTTCATGTCTTGTTTGTTTGTGCCCCACTGGTTTAATTTTTTTGTTTTTTTTCTTTTCTTTTTTAAAAATATTCATTCGTTCGTTCATTCATTCATTCATTCATTCATTCATTCATTCATTTATTTTGAGGCACTGTCTCACCATGCAGCCTCACTACTCACCATATAGACCACTAGGCTGGCTTTGAATTTATAGATCCACCTGTCTCTGCCTCCTGACTGCTGGGATTAAAGGTGTGTGCCCCACCACTCCTGGCATTTAATTAGGGCTGCCTGCTGGAGTGTGGGTAAGGGTGTTTTCTTTCAAGACAGGCTCTCATATATCCCAGGCTGGCCTTGAAATTACTATGTACCTGCTGTTTTTTTCTTTGTAATGAGACTATTAAGATGGAAATATATAAAGGTCACTGTTAGTATCTTGCTAATGTGTGTGTGTATGTGTGTGTGTGTGTGTGTGTGTGTGTGTGTGTGTGTGTGTGTGTGTGTGTACGTACGCTTTGAGACAGGATCTTAATAATCACGGCCGGGCCGGATTTCAACTTGCTATTTAGCCACAGATGATCTTGAACTCCCAATTCTCCTGGCTGTGTATCTTGAGTGTTAGGATCACAGGTTGATGTCATCATACTTGGCCATATTCTAAGATTTTGTTTCTTTTCTTTTAATGCTTTTTGGTCTTCTTGAGACAGGGTCTTGTCTGTGGCCCTGGCTGGCTTGGCGCTGTCTATAAGGCTAGCCTTGAACTTGCAGTGGTCTTTTTGCCCGCCTCTGAACACTGGGATGAGGGTGCCACCACACTTAACCATTTGAAATTCTTACACCCCTTTTTACTTTTCGCGTCCTGTGTATCACATAAGTCAAATACTTGGAAAAATTGTTTTTGCTCTTATTCATAAGGATTTTTCTTTCTTGTCAGATGTGGTGATGGTGGCCTTGTACTTGGAAGGCAGAGGCAGGCAGATCTCTGTGAATTTAAGGCCAGCCTGGTCTACATAGAGAGTCAGCCAGAGATACACAATGAGAATCTGTCTCAAAACAAAACAAAACAAACAAACAAAAAAAAAAACCAAAAAAAAAAAAAACCCTCCTTCTGTCCTGTCATATTTTTTTTTCATAATATTTACTTACTACCTGCAGTCAGGCAATGTGGATAGAGTACTAATTGACAAATTATACTATTAATACATTCTTGTAGGAGAGACCGATATCACAAAGAAATAATTCCAGATATTGCTATTAAAAGGAATGGCTAGGTCACTGTGTTCCTGATATACAGAACTGCACAAGATTACAGCTTGAGGATAACAAATGTTTGAATATTAAGTGACATATAAAATTATGAGTTAAGCGACATTTTGGTCCAGCCCATGTGCTTGTCCTGCATGGTGAGTTTCCAGAAGCCTCTATCCTCAAGAATGCAAGCTAAAGAAGCTGCTTTCCCCTGGCGTCCAGCCTTGTTAGCCCCCTGTCTGAGCAGCAGCAGGAGCTGTTGGGAGTGCAGGGACGCTCCAGGAGAGTGTCTTGTCATCTGATGTAAGATGCTGTCTCACTCACTGGGATCTTACAAACCCTTCTTACCGTCTCTTAAGGAAGGAATCCCATTAAAGAGAGGAAGGAGTTCTGTTTCCAAGCATGGCCCTTTCCAACTGAAGACTTCAGGAAGTTGTGAGCCCTTCCCAAAATTTCACTACCCAAGAGGTTCGGAGAGATGACACACAGTCTTGGGGAAACAGTCTCTGTCACCTAGGTAGTTAGTCTGCTTGGGTCAGAGTGGGCCACTCTACGTGCGTAAAGCTTAAGAAGCAGCCATTCTCCCTCGGGTTTCTCACGGCACCTGCTGTGGTGGATCCTTCCTTCTACAGCACTCTGGGAGTTGGCTTGTTTTCTTTCTACAGCCTGTGAGATAGTATTCATTTAGCAAACCTCCCTTACAAACTGAATTTTCAAAGTAATTCCCTTGCCAGACTGAAGGGGGACATGTCAGTTTTAGTGACTGTGGTGCGCAGGTCCTCCTTAATCCAGGCTCCTGGTCGAGGACTCTCCTGCCCAGGGAGGCACTGGTGAGAATCCTCTATCTGACACAATGAGTTAGCTTGGGGATGAGAGTCAAGGTTTTGGGTTTTCCTTGTTTGTTTGTTTTGTTTTTTTGAGACACAGTTTCTCTGTGGAACAGCCTTGGTTGTTCTGGAACTCACTTTGTAGTCCAGGCTGATCTGGAACTCACAGAGATCCGGTGCCTCCCGGGGCTGGGATTAAAGCCCAGTGAGATTCAAGTTTTCTTAAAAAGTACTTATTTCTATTGTTTTGAGACAGGATTTCTAACATATCCTAGGCTGGCCTCAAATTTGTTAAATGACTAATGATGACATTGAGTTTCTGGTCGTGTCTAGACTTCCCAAGTGCTGGTATTTACAGGATGCACCGCCACAGCTGGTTGAGATTCAAGCTTAAATACTACATTTATTTGTTTCTTACATATACAAAACCCAAATGTAATTTTATATAATAGTTTCAATAATTTAGTGTATGAAACAAAATTTTATGATGTGTAATTTCCTACTCAGTGTCATGTTAACCACTAAAACGTTTTAGTTTTCAGAACCTTTTAGGGGGTGTGTGTGTGCGCGCACCAGAGGCCAATATTGGGTGTCTTCCTCAATTGTCCTCCACCTTATGTTTTGAAACGAGGTCTCTCACTGAATCTGGGGCTCACAGGTTACCTAGGCCATTTTGCCAGTGAGCATCAAAGACTCCCCCTCTCTGTCTCCTCAGTACTGGGGTTACAGTAGAGCACCACCACAGCCTGCCTTTATGTGGGTGCTGGAAGGCCAGGCTCATGACCTCATTGCTGACTGAGCCATCTCCTCCTCCCATTAGGGGTTGAACTGGGATGCTCAGCTCATTTTGAACGAGACTTGACAGTGCTTTGGGAAGTCTTTTCATTCCCCTTTCTTCTGTTTCCCTCGCCTGAGTCTTCTTAGTCCTCACTCAGTTATTTACTTTTTACATTTCTATAACTAGTATCTCTTCAGCTGTCTGTGTCTTAAAAGTAATTGCCAAATAAAAGTGATATTGCACAGTTCTTTTTTTTTTCTAAAATTGTAAGTAGCCATGAAATTTCATCCCCCAACCTTAGTCCTTCCCTGAAGGGCAGACTGTTCAAGCTTGTAGATTTGAAGACTACCTTAAATGCTATGTTTTCTGTCATTTAAAGTTTATTTATTTTTGAGAATTTCATACATTGAATACTGTATTTACGTCATTTCATCCCTCCCTCTCCCCACTCTAGGTCTTCTTGTCTCCCTCAACTCCCTCTCCAATTCCTGACCTCTTCTTGTTTAACTACTATTACTACCATAGCTACATGTGTGTCTTTATAGGTGTGAGAGCTGTGTGGATTTGCTGTTTGTGAGAGGAGCCGGGAACTGTCCTGAGTGTGGTACTCCACTGAGAAAGAGCAACTTCAGGGTACAGCTCTTTGAAGATCCCACCGTTGACAAGGAGGTTGAGATTCGGAAAAAAGTGCTCAAGATGTAAGTGTTACTGTTGAGGGATCGGCCAACAAAGACAACTTCAACAGTTATTTCTATAGTCATCATTACTGTTTGCTCATGTAATTTTGAACAGCTTAGCAAGTAATGAAGTAGTTATAAAATCATCTACATACATATTTTACAAAATGTATTAAGTTTATAGTAACTGTAATATCTAACCTTTGTTAAAGAAGAACTTCCTTCATGAATTTCCGTGTCATCCGTGCACAGGGCCATGTTCCTCTCCGTATCATTCCAATTTTAGTGTATGTGCTTCCAAAGCGAGCACAGCACAGGAAGAACTTTCTTGGTGTTTTCACAGCTTATCCATTTGCTGTTTATTATTCAATTAACAAATACCCCTGTTATATGTATAGCAGTCATTAAGAAATGATGTGTAGGATAGCTATTAGCCTTCTTCTCATGAGGCTTACTAGTAAAGTAGTGTAGGATATTAGGGAGTTAGAAAATAGAGTAGTGGGCAAAGCGAATTTACTCTAAGGACTGAGGAGGTAACATTTAACTTTCAGTTTGAAGCTTATTTAGATAAAATGTTGGCTATGCTTTATTTTTGCATTTATGTGGGTGCATTTTTATGATTTGTTAGTTTTGAGTTCATTTTATTTGCCCTTTTGCTATAAGTTACTTTATTATTTTTAAATTAATACATTTTCTTAAGGTTTTGTGTTTTTGGTGTTGGGGGATTGAACCCAATGCCTGGGGTACACTAAGCATATGCTCTGCCTCTGAGCCATACAGCTAACTCATGATTGACTCCCCCCCCCCCCCCCCCCCCCCCCCCCCCCCCCCCCCGAGACAGGGTTTCTCTGTATGGCCCTGAATGTTCTGGGGCCAGGCTGGCCTCGAACTCAGAGATCTGCCTGCCTCTGCCTTCTAAGTGGTGGCATGAAAGGCATGCCACCACCGCCTGGCTTACTTCTTAATTTTTAAAAATAATCATTTTATTTTTTTATATTATCTTTCTTGTGAGTGTGTATGTGTGTGGATATGTGCATATGAGTGCGGTTACCCTGAGAGCTAGAGGTGTTCTGTTGGCTCCACCAGGAGCTGGATTTACAGACAGATGTAAACTACTAGATGTGGGTGCTGGAAACTGAACTGTGGTCTTCTACAGGAGTAGTACAGATTCTCTTTTCTCTCTCTCTCTCTTTTGTTTTCATGTTATTAGTTTATTTACAATCTTATTCAGTATAAGAATTCAACAGTTTAATCTACAAGAGTTAGAGATCACACCTCTTAAACATTCTTTATATCTGTTAAAAGAGTGAATTAAACATCCTTGTTTCTTAAGTAATTGGTGTCTTGCTATAAAGAAAGGTGCAGCAAATCCAGATCCAAAGTACAGGGTCTCATAGCTGGTAGGCACCGCTTGTTTTCCACTGAAAGTGACAAGTTCTTCCCCAGGCCCTCCCCGCCTCATGGTGCCTGCAGCAGACCTCGGAGCTGGTTGACCCCAGATGCTCTGGCTTAGCATGCTGCTGATGGAAGTTCTGCATGGACACAGAGAAGGCAGGCGGAAGAGGGGGCTGCAACACTCCTGTTTCCTTTGCTCATGACCTTGCTGTCCTCAGCGTAATACAGGCTCCTAACCACTGAGCCACCTCTCCAGGCCCTTTTAGTCATTGTTTGGATGGCATACATATGGCTTAGTGACATCTTCCTAGATACTGAATTGATAATACTTCATCAGTGGCCAGCTGATCTTGACTTACATTTCCTTAAGAAGTCATCTTTTCCTTCTGATTGTTTACCTTTAACCTTTTCAGTTTTGTTGTTATTCACTGATACATTATAATATTTATGTATTTTGTGACCTGTGTTTTAGGTCACTATTGTCATGAAAAACTTTTTTTATTTGAGCTTCAGTTTTCTGTAATTAATAACTATAATAAATAATATAATTTTTAATGATATGTCTTACTTAAGTTCATTTCATATCCCTGAGGCACCTTATTAAATCTCTTTCCTTAAGTCCTTTAAGAATTGTCATGTGATAGCATTCTCTTCTGATTCTACATCTTCTGTTAATCATAAGAATCTTCAGAACGGTGTTTTTGGGTTGCATGCATAGCTCCATGGTAGAACACATGCTTATTGTGAACAGAAGTAATCCTTCCACACCCCACCAAAAATAAAAAAATAAAAACAGAAAAAAAAAAAAAAACAAAAGAAAAATCAACCCAACAAAACCTCCCTCAAACCCAGCTTGCATTCTTGGTCTAGTTATAAACCCAACATCAAGAAAACAATGTTTTACACAGTAAATAATCTCTTCCTATATATCATGCATCAATTAAGTAGGGATGAGCAAGCAGGTTATATAAAATGGTCTACAATGATATATATAACTTGGATTTTTTTCTCTGTAGATACAATAAAAGAGAAGAAGATTTTCCTAGTCTACGAGAGTATAATGATTTTCTGGAAGAAGTGGAGGAAATTGGTATGTTTTAATTGGATGTGCTGGCCTTTATATCTTGTGCTGTTATCTTTTAGATGCCTAGACAGTGTCTCAACACAAAAGGCTCCTGATGGTTTTTTTGTGGTAGTGATGTTTACAGGTTACTTTCTTTTGCAATTGAACTACATTTGTCAAATTTAAATCATACAAAGTAAAGGGTATTCTTAAGTAATTTTGTCTTAGAGAAATTATTATAGAGGTAATACTCCTTACCTGGGAGGAAGGGTGGTGTCTGTATGTACCAATTCTACCAATGCAGTTTAAGCAAAAGGAAATACTGTGACTTACTTTGTAGGATTTGTTAACGTTGTCTGTGATAACAAAAGACAAAAATGTTTATCACTGTTTATGCTTCTGTGGAACAGCAGGTTGGAAAACTTTGAAGCAGGTGGCTGTGGAGTAGCATTTTACTAGTTAGTGTTTTCCAGGCAGATGTAGAATGATCTTAGTTCTTCTTTTCAATGTGATTAGTCCTAAGTGTCTTCCTCACAAAAGTGTGTTGTCTCTGCTTGCTCCCTTTACTTTCAGTGCTGGCTAGGGATTGAGCCTTGTTTCTCTTTTGCTAAAGAGAATTTCAAAACTGTTAAATGGTATGGAAGTTGTGATACATTGATTAAAAAGTTATGCTTTTTAAAGTTGTGATAATTGGAGCTGCTGAGATTACTCAGCTTCCCACCACACCTGAAGATTTGAGTTCCTTTCTGGGACCCACACAGTGGAAGAGAGCCCCAGCTCCCCACGTTGTCTGACCCCCACACATGCGCACTAAATAAATCATTGTAAAGCACATACTAAATTAGTAACTATGAAACAAAAAGTCACTGTATTTATTACAAAGTACAGGTTTGGAAATGATATGAGAGTGTAGCCTATGAAAATTAGACTGAAACTGTGAGGATCAAACAGTCATCTTTTTACTCTCCCAGTTTGTAACTTTATTACTAAAACACGATTAAAAAGAATCATTAGAAGGTTTTTATATGTGGCAAATTAAAAAAATTCAAATTCTTTAGGTATTAGTATTATAATTTTTAAAAATTTCCTTCTGAGAAAGTCTAGATATCCCTTTTCTAAAGTGTCCAAGTTATTTGTTACGCCCCAGTAGAAGCATATGCAGAACATAATTTGGGATTTTTCTGAAATATTTTAGTGCCTTAGAACTGTTGCTTCTTCATTCTAAATGTCGTCATATGTGCTTTATATGTATTAGCAAGTGTGAGTCCCTGGGGTTTTACTGAGAAGCTGGTAGAATTGTGGATGCTGATGCAAAGGGCCTGTAGATACAGACTGAAGATGCTCAGGTCGAGAACAAGCAGGAGGATTGCCGTCACAAAGAAACGGTTTGCGTATGCCCCCAAATCAGTGGGATTAGTCAAAACTCTGTGATAGAAAGCAGGTAAAAGCACAGGGCAGGCTGAATACACCAGCACAGTTCTAACCGAGTGTTCTAGGTAGCTAAAGGAAACTGAAGGACAAGGAAACTGGGATGAAACAGCAGGGGGGACCTTGACTTTTCATGAAGTGCTGGTTGGGCCTGCGTATGTACTTTTTCCTGAGATGAACTAATTTGAAGGAATGAGCAGCCTGGGGCCCACAGGTTCATGTTTAGAAGTAGGCACTAGCAACAGGACAGGGTAAGCTTGGATAGTGAGACTCTACAGCATGTAATACTTTCTTCCTTTTCTTTGAGGTGGAGTCTCACTATGTGGCCTTGGGTGTTCCGATAATTGTTATGTAGGTCAAGTTGGTTTCGAGCTTGCGAAATCTTCCTGCCTCTGCTTCCCGGAGTCCAAGATTACAGGCCTGCACCATCACAGCTGGCCTGTAATATTTTCTCTTTCTCTGTGAGCATGTGGGTATAGATACCCATGCATGCGCACATGGAGGACAGAGTGAGTGTTGGGTGTCTTCCCCACTTTCTTTCTTTCTTGAGACAGGGTCCCTTTCTGAATGTGGAGCTCACCTATTGGCTAGACTGTCTGGTGAGCAGGCCCCTGGGATTTTCCTGTCTCTGCATGCCAGTGCTGGGGTTACAAGTATACGCTGCTGTGCCTTGGTTTTTCTGTGGGTGCTGGGATCCGAACTCAGGTTCTTGTGCTTGTTTGGCAAGCACCTTACCCACAGAGCCACCATCTTCCCCTGCAATACCTCACCAATACAAACCTATAGACCAGTGCCTTTGATCTGAACGCGATCATGCCATTATGCATATTTCCTGAAGGTGTGTCTGGAAGGTATATAGAGACTCTGACCCAATGTCTGGTTAACTGTCCCACTGACATTTCCCGTTCCTTCCATAGACTGCTGACTCATGCCAAAGCATAATGATGCATAGCAAGTGCTTTTCCATTAAAGGCTGTCCTCAAGTTCCTCTCTGTTCTGCTCTCCAGTTCAGTTATGCACCAGGAATTATTTGCACCAGTGATCAAGCTTTCCTAGACCAATTGTGCTTATTATTTTATGCAATTTAGTCCAATAATGTATAAGGCTGGGAAAATTCCGTAACTGTGTGCTTTTGCTTCCCTTAAAAAAGTGGAGCCAGCACTGTAGATGGTAGTTATAATTTATACAAGAAGTGAACTCCTGTTAAAGACTAGACATTGGCTGTGCATTATTCAGTTGGAGATGCTGTGTTAGTCTCTTTTCTGTTGCTGAGATGAAACACCATGGTCAAGGTAACTTATGAAAGATAGAGTTTAATTGGGCTCACAGTTCCGGAGGGTCAGAGTCCATGATGGTGGAGCAAAGCATGGAAGGAGGAGCTGCAGCCGAGACTTGGATCTTCATCTACAAACAGGAGACGTAGA